TAAATCAACTATTGATGTATCATATTGTTAAAGATCTAAGTTTTTCATTTGAACATCAAAGAAAATATTATGTAAAAAATATAATATATCAGGTGATTCAGAATAAATGGCCCTACTTTGCGTTTTATTCTTTTTACCTGTAAACACCTTGTATTAAAAGCAACAAAACATACTAGAAGATGCAGCATGAAAAGTTCTACAATTTACATAAAAGTGCTTATTTTATAATTGCACTTTTTGTTTTCAAAAAAAACAAAACAAAATTCTGTGCGACAAATTTTCATCGTTACGAAAAAAATCATTGCTTTTTCTACACGAACAAGAAATTTCTTTTTTCTTATTTCATCTTTTTATCACCTAATATGTCTTTGTAAAAAAAACAAACAAAATATATCAGAAGATGAAGCGTGAAAAACTCTACAATTTACACAATAAAGCTTATTGGAATTGTTTTCAAAAAAAAAGCAAAATTCTATGTGATCAATTTTCTCACGGTCGAAATTTGATCGCTCAAAATTTTGCCCATTTTGAAAACGAAAAGTGCAACTATAAAATAAGCAACTTTATGTAAATTGTAGAACTTTTTACGCTGCATCTTGTGGTATATTTTGCTTTATAATAAAACATATTAGATAATGAAAAAAATAAAATGCAAAACATGGCCATTTATTCTGAATCATCTATTACATTTAGCTACATTTTAATGAGAAGAAATTCTTAATCATTGATGGACATGTTGTTGTATCTTCATTCATATCATCAATGTAGGAAAAATAATCCAGATAATGGTTCATAAACGTTCAACAATCGATCTATTGATATAAACGAGGTTAACCAATAAAATTTTTATTTCTTGTAATAAGCACTAAACAGATAGCAATTTCTTATCCGTATAAGATATAAAAAATAAATCATACTTGCTATTCTTTGAGATTTGCAACTCGTTTTGATGATGATGATGAACTAAAATGACTGTATAATTGAGCTAAATGTAATTCGACATCAACTAGAAGATATTGATGAGAAGTTTTGATCAAATTGTTTAAGATGTGAGAGTAACAATTCTCTGATAAGAAAGAAAAGGATAGATTTCTAGAACTATTCGGTTTTTTTTTGAAAGTATATTATTATCTTTTAACAGATTTCAAACTTCTAGTTTTATTATACTAAATACTGAATAGTGTTGACCGTAATTTGTATTGGTATTATCAGCACTGGTAGAAGTCATTTGTCAAATATCAATGTTATTTTGTTTTAATGCATCACGTAATGCACCAACAATATGTTCAGCTGATTCACGAAGTTGTTCAACTACTTCTAGTACAGATTTTGTTATACTAGATTGAAGCATAAAATAGTTAATAGTGAATGGAAACATCTTTATATTTCCTTTGTTGAATCCATCAAATGATAACGAATAAAAATAAGATTTGTTTATTTATTCAATAATTTGAGAAATAAAAAAAAAAAGAGCTAAAAATTAAATGCAAACTGTAAAACAAAGTGTAAAGAATATTGACCATGAATATCTTCTAACACCAAGATATTGAATAGTTTCTTATATTATTCCATATTAGATAAATGTTTTTATATCAAAAGATGAGATTATCTTACCAAGAACATTTACTGCTAAGTCACGTTTTTTTAATTTACCAGAAGAAATATTTTGTCTAATAACAGTTTCATTGAAAATTTTCTCCAAAAGATCAACGATACATGATTGGCTAACATAATTATGATCATGACGAACACCATGATAAACAAGATTAAGTTCAACAGCAGTTAATTTAGTTAATACAGATGATGATGGAATAAAATCATGAATTGATCATGCTTAATGATAAAAATAAATCAATTAATGAAATCCTATCACATATCAATATTGTACTTTACATTTTTCTTTAGTTTCAGTTTCCACTAATTATTTATGACTAGCTTGTTCATCATGTCAATTGATTAGATAAATACCTTCATTCGAAATAGAAAAGTTAGATTTACAAATACAGAGTGTCGCAAAAGTCAACTAACAAAAAAAATTTGCATATCTCGCTTACGGCTTGAACAAACAAGCTGATTTTTTTGTCAATGATAGAGGCATGTTCAAAGTTTATATCCATAAAGACATGCCTTGAGAGACTCTTTATTAAGTATCACTATTGATCTCAATAAAAAAAAAAATTACTTTTTCACAGATAGGAAAAGAAAACAATATACTTAACAAAGAGTCTCTTTAGGCATGCCTTTATGAATATAAAGCTTGAACGTATCCCTATCATTGATAAAAAAAATTAGCACATTTGCTCGAGCCATAGTAGAGATATTCAATTCGTTTTTTCGGCAAACTAACTTTTGCACCACTCTGTATATAGTTTTTTCCAATCTGTGAAAAAGTAAAATTTTTTTTGTTGAGGCCAATAGTGATACTTAACAAAGGGTCTCTCTAGGCATGTCTTTATGAATATAGACTTTGAACATGCCTCTATCATTCACAAAGAAAAATCAGCTCGTTTGTTCGAGTCGTAAGAGAGATGTTTAAATTTTTTTTGGTAGGTGACTTTTACGACACCCTGTAGAGCAATGTATAAGATAAGAATTAGCTTGACATTTGCTTAGAAATGCTGAATATTTTAGATCTTTCAATTATTTCTTGTTGAAAGTACAGGGCGGGAAATAACATTTTGCCAGAGTGGTACCACTATAATTTCAAATAGAAGACATAATGAATTTTATATCAAATAGAAGCTTGTCAAAAATGTGGTTTATTGATACTAAATAGTAAGGATTATGAAAACTTTTTAATATCGAACTTACGAAGCTTTAAGAAATTTTATACTTTTTTTTGCGGCGGAAAAGTAAAGTACCAGTAATTGAAAAATGAGTTAAAATGTTTTTCTTAGATATTTTTGCATGGTTCGATAGAGCTCGTCGAGCTCTACAAAACTGTATATACTAAAAAATTTTCAAACAGAGTTGTTGGGTTAAAATTCACTGAAAACTGTCTAAAGAATGTACCGAAAAACCCTCATTTTTTACACTTTTTATAGGGGAAAAAAAGTAGTCTTTTTTACACTAAATTCAGCTGTTTTCCATTAGTATCCTTATGTAAAATATTTGAAAATATACTCATTCAATGCAGTGTGAAAAACTGCATCGAATGAATATATTTCGAAACATCTGAGGAAATAAAAATAATCAGAAAAAAGGAAATTTTATTGAAAATTCGAGTGTTTTTCTTCCATATCAAAAACGTGACTTTTTTAACATTTTTTAAGATTTTCCAAATAGTTTTTTGAAATTTTAATCAAAAAAGAAAGACTCAAAAAATTTTCAATATATACAGTTTTGTAGAGCTCGACGAGCTCAATCGAACCATGTAAAAATATCCAAGAAAAACATTTTAATTCATTTTTCAATTACTGGCAGTTTATTTTTCTGCCGCAAAAAAAGTATAAAATTTCTGAAAGTTTCTTAAGTTCGATATTAAAAAGTGTTCATAATCCTTACTATTTAGTATCAATAAATCCCACTTTTGACGAGCTTTTATTCGATATAAAATTCATTATGTCTTCTATTTGAAATTATAGCGATCTCCCCTGGCAAAATGTTATTTCTCACCTTGTACAACGACTTTTCGACTTTAATGATGAATTAACTTTTTCTTTTATTTGTTATTTGTACTTAATTTTTCTAGAGAACTAGAAGGTTTGTTAACTATTGTTATTATTTCTGCTCTTGATTCTTCAGAAGTTTGTATTCTATTATTTTCGTTCAATTTCATGTAAACCGTATTATCATATTCCTTGAGTAGAAATTTAAATCTAAAATTAATTTTTCATATAATATGCACTAGTCAAATATGACAAAAATAATAATAAAATGGAAAAACAATGAAAAAGAAAAAGATTCATTAAACTTTATTTTCATTTTAGGAGTGAAAAATTGCATGAAAAATCGAATAACTCAAGACGAAATAAAATAAATATAATGTATGCTAATATTCATTGGTCAACTCTTTGCCAATACATTTCATTATAGAGACCTCCGTAAAAATATAACAGAAACTATATTGGAAAATATAATTTATTTTTATTAGAATATCAGTATATCGCAGCAAAGATTTAAAAAGCCAGACGTGTTACGAAATGTCTGTTCCAGGGGTATAAAATTTTCTGAGTTGCAAAATGACAAAATGGGGTACGTTTGGCAGTCCTATATCAAAGTGTTTTTTGTACTCAACATATAATATGGTAATAGGACGACGAGCAAAAATATAGTTGGATGAAATAAATCACATGACGATAGTGTCACATATAATAGCAGTGTTTGCAAGGGGGAAAAAGCGGATGGTCGGATTGTCGGATCCTCTGTATCCTCTGTATTCTCAATGTATCGTGCGTATCTTCTGTATCTCCAATGTATGGCGCGTATCTTCTGTATTGGCGATGTATCCTTCGTATCCCAATAGATTCTTTGTATCTCCAATGGATCCTCCGTATCGTCATAGATACTCTATAGTCATTCGATATCATATTTATCTTCAGTATCCTCTTCATAGTCCACTTATTCTTGTTATATGCTATAATCTGTGTTATACAAAATTATTCTCATTTGATAGAACATTGAAAGTATTGAAATTTTTAAAGAAGATTAAAAAAGTGAGTTAAGAAAAATCCACTGTCAACATCAGTAATCGAAACATGTCACCAATATGATGGATGTTAAAACTACTGTGTCGAGCAGATCAATTTCGATTTTTGTCCTTTTATTCAGAAAAAGTAGTTCGCAATAAACAAAAAACTATTACATAATTCGTTCGATTTATTATTTTATATCAGTCATAAATAAAACATAAACGTACAATGTATACAATATTTCACATATATTTATATCACACAGTATTTATACATAACAAAAAAAAACACAGACACCAATCACACTTTTCGTACATCACATATTCAACATTTATTTAAAATCTATCATCTTCTTTTTTTCAATTAAATTTATCGACTTCTCTTTTGTACACGTTGAAGTCGATCTGCCGATAGTGTAGGTTTATTATCGGTAAGAAGCCAGCTGGCAGTTTGCTTATGCATATATTTTTCATTTCCGTCTACATTAATACGAAAGTATGAATTCGATTGAGAAGCAGGAATTTCATTGAAGATTCGTAATCCTTTAAATTGCGATCTTTTGTGACCAGAGTTATTTGTTAGTTCATCAGCTTCATCCTCTGAAGAACTTTCCGAAGTTACATCATATTGATCATGAACATTATCTTCTTCTGAATCTGATTCATCATCGGAATAACCGTTCCAATTTTCACTAAAATCAGTAGTATGAGAAGTATTTTCAATCTGAACTCATACATATGTACTCAGTTCATTTAAAGCGTTTCGATGTTCTCTTACTAAAATTACATCAATACCAAGTACAGATAACATCTTATAAGCATCATCAAAAGCACGATGGATGGTTTTCTCAATCGTATTTTGTGTTAATATGTTGTTAGAAACATCTAAACGATTATTTATTGACATATCTTTTCTGTGACGTCGCTTATGATGTTTAGGAAATTGTAAAGAACATTCTGATAGATTATGTTCATTTTGTCTTTCAATATCTTGTAATACTGAAAGTTTACCAGCTCGTCGGAGAAATTGTCCGACAGTAAAATTCACATTTGATGAGAATGTCCCAGACATTGATCTTGTTAGTCTGAATATATTTTCGCATATATGTGAATTAAAACTTGTTATAGATAGAGCAGATTCAGGCAGATCATGCTGACAAACAAGAAGAACAACTGATAGTAATGTGTGTGCGTTGATTTCAATAGAATGATAAGCAGCTTTTGTAATAAAGAAAAAAGCTTTATTTTTGTCCTGATATTCGGTGGAAATTTCTTCCACATCAGTCAACTGCAACCAAGCCCACCAAAGTCGGCAAATGAATACTGTAATCCAACTATGATATATTCGATCAAGAATTGATGTACTTTGTTCAATATAAGCTAGTATAATACTACGCAACAGACGTAAGTAAATTTGTGTGGCATAAGAATCAGAAACATTATTGAGAGCAGATAAAACATCATCAGTTGAAATTTTAGCACATGAACTGAAGTTTTGTCGGTCTTTTGGATAGACATCCGTTTTTACTAATCCATGGATTAGTTTCGATTGGTTGTTAATTAAATCAAAGAGTACATCGACTGATATTTTTCCGTTTCCAATAAACATTGAAGCAGATTGAGAAAGAAGACGATTACGAATCTTGGTGCAGAGGTGTACTGGATCCTGAAAACAAAAAAATAACTGACGTGTTCGCATGAAGAACCATGAAGACCAGTTCTTTGGTAACTTCACTTCTAGCACATCGTTGCGTTCACTTATAGGTATGTTAGGTAGTTTAGCAAAAAATCCTGTAATGAGACGCATAGCGCGTAAATATTTCGGATCACAGTCCGTTGCGAAAGCAAGAATTCGAATATTCGAAATCCGAGAACGTTCAAATATCCACAGCCAACGACGAAGAACATCAATTGAGTTAAATTTGCTTGTAATTCCATAAGCTCCTAGAAGAAATGAAGTCGACGACGATTTAGATATTGTAAGAAGTTCTAACATATGAACGTTTAAAAGATTTGATTTTTCTTCATTCTCGAACCACTCTTTCAATTGATCATACGAATCAGTTTGAAAAAATTGTGGAACAGGTACTCCATGATCGAGTGAAGTTGAGAATCCTATGAATGTGTTAGTAGATGCATCATATACCACCTTCTGGATCACACCTGTACAATCTTCGGAGCAGACAGCAAGTTGATAATTGTTTGAAATTTGGAGATCGCTGAGAGCATCATATCGAAATTCACTTTCAACGATCTTTCCACCAGCTTTTGTAATAGAACCATCAACCGAAGTGATCGATGGTACTGAACCTGGAAGATTTAGACGAATATATTCGTATGTGTTGCGTCCGCCCATAATATATAATGCTTGAGCAAAATTTTGCACTTTTGTATTATATCGATGATTGTTCTTCGATTTTTTGCTGTTACTGGTAATGTTATTGATCAAGGTATTAAGAAAAGAATTTTTATTTTCTTCCAACGTATCAGAATTTATTACTGTATTAGATTGAGAAGAATTATCATCAGATGATATTGTAGTTGATT